CCCTATTCTGATTGTTCCGGAGAGGGGACAGAGGTATACAGTATATTGTGATGCCTCTAAGGACGGACTTGGTTGCGTTTTGATGTAATCCGAGAGAGTGGTAGCTTATGGTTCTCGACAGTTAAAGAACCACGAGCAAAGTTACCCCACACATGACATGGAGTTGGTGGCCATTGTCTTTGCCTTGAAGGCTTGGCGCCACTATCTATACGGTGAGCAGTTCGAGGTGCTTTCAGACCACAAAAGTCTGAAGTACATCTTTACACAGCGGGACTTCAACATGAGGCAACACAAGTGAATGGAGTTTCTAGAGGACTATGACTTCACTTTGCATTACCTTCCCGGTAAGGCAAATGTGGTGGCTAATGCACTCAATCGGAAGTCACGGGAGATTCTTGGCAAGTGTGACTTCTCAGGAATGGCAGATGCTCGAGGCTGTGGCACAGTTCAGGTTACGCTACAATGGGTAGGCTCAGGATATTTTGGAAAGTTTGGTGGCTATGCCTTCCCTACTGAACAGAGTGATTGAGTTTGAGGGGCAAGACCCAGAGATATTGTCCATCAAGGATCAAGTACAAGTGATGAGGGCTGGGTCATTCACTCAGATTGTAGTCTTTGGCTTAGGGGGAAGGCTTGTGGTTCCCCAGTTTGAGAAGCTCAGAGAGGAGATTCTTAGAGAATTTCATTGCTGTCGTTTTACTGTGCATCTAGGTGGCACGAAGATGTACCATGATCTTCGTCGCCAGTATTATTGGAGCAGGATAAAGAAAGATGTTGGAAATTTTGTTAGTCGATGTCTCACATGTCAGCAGGTAAAGGTTGAACACCAGAGACCAACAGGGTTACTCCAGCCTTTGGAGGTAGCTGAGTGGAAGTGGGAGCATGTCACGATGGATTTTGTGACTCACTTGCCACGGACATCGCGGGGTCATGATGCGGTATGGGTGGTAGTGGATCGGCTTACCAAGTCGGCACACTTTTTAACGGTGCGGATGACTTTCACACTGGAGGAATTCTGTAAGTTGTATATGCGGGAGATTGTCTAACTGCTTGGAGTGCCCGTATCTATAGTATCGGACCGGGATCCCAAGTTTACGGCTCATTTTTGAGAGAGTTTTCAGCGAGCCATGGGGACACAATTGATGATGAACACTACTTTTCATCCGCAGACGGACTGTCAGTCTGAGAGGACTATCCAGACTTTAGAGGACATGCGTCCTAGATCTCAAGGGTAGCTGAGAAGATCACTTACCTTTGTGAAGTTCACATACAACAACAGTTATCAGGCAAGCATACAGATGGCACCCTATGAGGCACTATATAGAAGGCCTTGTCGATCTCCGATTTGTTGGACGGAGGTGGGAGAAAGACCCTCTACGAGTCCGAATTTGGTTAGGGACACCTCTGAGAAGGTGGACTTGATACAGAAGCGTCTTTTTACGGCTCAGAGCCGATAGAAGAGCTATGTCGACAAACAGCGGCGACCTTTAGAGTTTGAGGTGGGAGATCATGTCTTCTTGAAGGTGATGCCTAAGAGAGGAGTGGTCAGGTTCGGCAAGTAGGGAAAGCTATCGCCGAGATATATCGGGCCCTTCGAGGTACTCGAGAGGGTAGGTACAGTTGCTTACCGGTTGGCGTTACCGCCAAATCTATCAGGTGTTCATGCGGTATTCTATGTCTCTATACTCCAAAAATATACCCTCGGATCCGACTCATGTGGTGGATTGGGGAGAGCTTGTTGTTGATGATGATGGGACCTTCGAGGAGGGACCGGTGCGCATCATGGATAGCCGAAAACTGGTTTTACGAGGCAAGACCGTGCGCCTAGTGAAGGTGTTGTGGTAGCATTGCGGAGTGGAGGAAGTGACATGGGAGCGCGAGGACACCATCTGTACCAATTGTCCTTTCTTATTCGAGGATGGAGGTACTTTCTTATAGTCATTAGATATTAAATGACTGTTGCATGTGCATGTGATTGTATGTGTATGTGTATGTGAATTTGGGGGACGAAATTCTTTTAAGGGGGGAAGAATGTAAAACCTGGGTAAATTTGAACTTTTTCTGAAAAAGGGCAAAAAAGTAATTTGCCACTATAATGCATATTTAAAATACTCATGTTCTAGACCTCGGATGAGGAAACGGAGTTCGTCGTTGGGTTTGTATCACAAAACCTAGTCACCTTGTCAAATTTCATCGAATTCTGAAATAGTCAGATTTTTACACATCGTTCGAGGCAACTACGTGGCGAATGACATTTTAAAGTTTCTCAAAAAATTTTTTTATAAAATTTCCTTAAAATTAAGTTAAATTTTCAATAAAATTTATTTGGACTTAATCTGGGACTTAATGAATCGTTTCGGGACGAAAAACGGACCCGAAGTCGAAAATATGCGATGTGATGTGGACCGCACATTTGGGACTATAAATATAGACTTAAAATCAGATATTTTGAAGAAATATCTTCATTATTCACCCAAGTGGTCGGCCATAGAGAGAGAGAGAAGAGAGAAAAAACTTAATCTTCAAGTCTTCCTCCTCCGATTCTCGAAACTCTGTCGCTCGGATCAACTTGGACCAAGAGTTAAAGTCAATCACCACGACAAGGGCTACGTCTATGTACCAAGAAAAGTGAATTTCACCGAAGATCCAAGAGGGGACTTTGGATAAATCAAAGGTTCTTGGGCTTTAATTGGTGTTCTTGGAGGTTCTACTACTTCCTACACGCTACAAGAGGTAGGGTTCTTCCTACTTTGATTTTATTCCTATCTTAAGGGGCTGTGTTAAGGGGCTGATTTTGGGTTGTTTAGTGCCTAAATTGTGGGCTATTTTTGGACTGAAATTGTGACTATTTTTGGACTGAAATTGTGACTTTTTTTGGGCTGAAATTGTGACTGTTTTTGGACTGAAATTGTAACTGTTTTCGGACAAAAATTATAAATGATTTTGGACCGAAAAGTGGAGTATTTTTGGACTATTTTTAGGCCATTTTACGGACTATTTTAGGCCATTTTGTGGGCTATATATGGGCTGTTATATGGTGGTTTATATGTGCTATTTTTGTGGTTTATATGGGCTATTTTAGTGGCTTATATAGGGGCTATTTTGTGGCTTAGATAAAGGCGGTTACTTAGGCTATTACATGGGCTGTTATGTGTTATATTATGCCTTAATGTTTAAGTGTGTTATTGGCATAGATTATATAATAACATGCTTGTGAATTGTGTTGGATATGAATGTTAATACATGCTAGTTGATGTTTTGACATTGTGAGAAATTATGGCAAGCATATGCATTAGATATTAAGTACCATGACATATGTTGAGATATGTGGTTAAATTAATTCATATAGCATTCATTGCATATGAGACATGACATTGGCATGCAATGGTACATTACATTGTATATGCACGGAAAACATTGCATATTGAGGGTGTGTGTGTGCATAGTTGTCATCTTCACCTCATTTGGTGTATGACGAGTGGGTTTGGGAAGGTTGGATTGATGATTCAATTGAGTCGCATGGTTTTATGAAAAATTGGGTCAGGGTTAGCAAGAAGGGCTAGAATATCCCTCAGGTGAAAGACCTAGTAATTGGATTCGCACTCCGTTGGTATAAGAGCCTATAAAGTGTGTCGGTGTATGCGGAACCGTTGGTAGTAGTCCATGAATTCCGTGTCGACCGGGTGTCGTTGGTGTAAGTCCATAAATACCCACTCCCAAGAAAAACCCTAGATTTATATAAAAATGTCATTTGATGTGTAACATAGATAACGGTGGCACTGCATTGTGTTGTGGGAGTCGATGGAGACTCGGGGTAAAATGCATGAGTGAGTCTCATCTCATTTCATAGCATGACATGATAGAATTCTAACCTAGAATTGCATATTCTTACTTGCAATGTTGATGCGAATATGAAATGTTAAATGTGAACATTGCATGTGCACTTAGGTGGGGAGTAGCCTCTGTAGGAAATACTCTACTGGGTGTGACTCATCCTATACGAGAAACATTTCAGGTACAAGATATACGCCGGTGGAGGGGTCTCATTCAGGGCCGCAAGGGTGAAGAAAGCCGATTTGTGGCTTTAATAACTTCTTTCGTAAAACTTTTGGAGCAAACTAGTTTTGACATGTAATTTTATGTAAGAGAGTTGTAATTGAACTCGTATAGACTGTTTTCAATATAATTTTGCATGTTTTTATATGCGTATGGATAAATGGACCCTGTGTGGTCAATTTTTACTCATAAATGGACTTGGTGTGGTCATTGTGTTATATTGTGCATCAGATGGGTCATGTGAATGTATATTGCATAGGTTGAGTTTTGAGTAGAGCTCCCCGTACAAAATAGACTCTGCCCAAATTTTGTTAAACTATGGATCTCGGTAAATGGGATATTACGGCGCGATATCGAGTTACACGATATCCATAGATATTCCGCGGGTTGATGGGTGATCAACGGACCCCCGAATTTTAGGGGTGTCACGTTAGGTTAATAAATTAAGTCTAAGTAGTTCTACTCTTACAAAAATAATATTATTTTAATTTTATTTACTGACATAGTTTATTGACCTAATTTAATACGCTATTATATTGGTTTTGAGTTCTAATAAATATTTGAACCTATTATTAATCTAACAATTATAAATTATTTTATTAACAAATTAGATCAATAAATTAAATACAAATATCATTACCAAAATCAAAATAAAAATGTAATTTGTATTCCAGTTGCCAGGGCTGCGTTGACAAGCCAACTCAGTGGACTTGGTCCGTCCTCAAACTCCACATGGGGCGGAGTAAGAGTTGAAAACAGAGTCAGTTCCAATCAATTATTACAGTATATATGACAGAGTCAACGAATATGAAATCAATTTGCCAGCCCAGGTCGATCCTGACATGAATTGACAAACGCGTCAAATTGACTCAGCCAAACTTCAAAAGTCCACCGGTTTGTCTGTTATCCTACTTATCTCCCAATTCATCTTCTCCTCCATCTCCATTTTGACAAACCCACACAGACAAACTCAGATAGAGAGAAGAGGGAGAGAGATGGGGAAGCTGAACCATGATCAAACCATCCAACACTTCAGCCACCCTCATCTTCTACAGCTATGCAACCTCGATCAACAACAACTTCTTGCTCAGCAGATCACAGCACCATGTTCAGGATGTAAGCTCCAACCATATGGTTTTATGTACACATGCGGATCTTGCAACTTCAACCTCCACCTCTCTTGCACACAATTCCCACAGCTCATCACCCACCCCTCCCATCCCAATCATACACTCTCTCTCCTCCCAATCCCTCTCTATCCGGGTGGCCATTTCAATTGCGATGCTTGTAACCATACCGGAAACGGATTCAGCTACCACTGCACCCCTTGCGATTTCGATCTCCATGTCCTCTGTGCTTCAAAGCCACTCACCATTGCCCACCAATCCCATCGTCACCACCCCCTTGAACTAACCTTCAATCCTCCTTATGAAAGCAAAGCTTTTTCTTGCGATATATGCCACAGAATAGGGTCTAAACAATGGCTCTACCGTTGCAGCGCCTGCGAGTTTGATGTCCATTTGGACTGTGCAGCAGCTATGCCCAAACCAATATTATTGGGTCAACCACAGCCACAGCAGTTGCTACAGAACCAACATTCGTTTCCGGTGACGGGGACTAATAGTCGATCCCAGGCTCTGGTGACTGGCGGTGGCAATGGTAATGTACCTTTAGGACCAGGTTATTATATGCACAGTGCAAGTACTGGGTCTTTGCAGATGTATCAACAACCTCCTCCCACACATGAACCTGGGAATTCCTTAATGAATGTGGCAGTTCAAGGATTTAATGACGGTGCTGCACAGCAAGTGGGACAAAATGTCGTGCAAAGTATGATGGGTGGTGGCAATGACGGTGGCAGTGGTGGTGGCGGAACTGGCGATTTGTCTTCAGCATCTATCTTTAATGTTGGATCTTCAATTCTGGGCAGCATATTTGGAGACTCAAACACACAAAACTAGGAGTTCAGTTGAGCTTCAAAGTTCCTTAGTCTGTAATAGGATTTCTGTTTACTGTTGTATTGCCTGCATTTATACGTGCATAAAAAGTATGAGTAATGTTATTTAAAATGAACATGTAAATTAAATTTCTTTACCTAATGAATCACTACAATTAGATTGAGTGCGCCCAAGTATTAATTAGTTGTGGTTCGTTATCAATTCAGTTGTTGTGATTCATTAAATCTGTAAATTAGGTTCAAATATTATTTTTTAAGTATCGACACATTTGATTTGGAAGTTAAGAAGTTGAAAAGGGTTTAGTTGATCCAAAGCAAGTATTACTCATGGTTTGATTGCAAAATATGAATATCAGTCTTAATTTAAGTGTAAAGTAGGCCTTCAAAGGTTTCAATCCCATCTTTTTTCACTTGAAAATAAAAATAAAAATAAAAATCAAAGAGTATTTATTGAATTTGCTTACAAGAATGAACTTGCATCAACGGAGAAAATGATTAGTTAGGTGTGTATAGACATATTACTTGTTGATGGTATATGAAACTGAGAAGTGTGAAAGGGTGAGGTTAGTGAGCTCTGTGTCAAGCGAACGAGCTACATTTGTGTGTGTGAATACATAATAGTGGTAAGTAAGAATTCAGCGAGCTAAATGGTTCACTAAGCTAAAAAAGTAGGTTAGTCCACCATACTGAAAGTTCTTATTCCTCTAGTCTGTATTCCTTGAAGAAGAAGGTGATTACAACCTTTTTATTGCAATTTTTGCATCCTACACATCACTAAGGTATTTACAAGGTGAAAAATAGTTCAGGTGGTGTAGATCTAATCGTGCAGAATCGTGAAGGTTGGAACAAAGGCATTGGCGTTCAAACTGTGTCAAGCTCGTTTGAACGGGCTTTGCTCTCATAATCAATTTGAACGGGCTCCAAGATTCTGCAACCTGTCTTACTTTTTCAAACTAATGTTGATCTAGTTAGAAGTGGATTTAGGAAATTTGCATGAAAATTCCCTTTTGTAGCCCTTGAAGCCTACTTTCCAATACCACAAGAATTTGCTCAACATCAAGGTAAAACGTTATGCTCAAAATATTGAGGTAACTAGTAATAGCCCGTACCTAAAGACATTTTGCAACATAAAAAAATTACTCATAATCATAGGTTTTCCTTCAGTTGTTTTAATTAAAGACATTGAAATCAAACTAACCCTAGCTATTTTTTCACAAAATTTCAACAAAATTTTCTTTAAAAATAAGAAGCAGGAAAATCTCAAACTTTATACAGAGCTTATATATCTCATTATATGTATCATTATCCAACACTAACAATTGCATAACAATCTTAAATAATAAATTACTAAACCTAACTGAAAGAGATCATCATATTTTAGTTATACGCAATCTAAATAAAAATAACATTTATATCACAATAACAAAGGTCACTGTCACATGTTATACATGCAAGTTCAACCAAAGAACCAAAATTCATAGTTCACAATCATACAAAATGATCATCATAGTTCGCAATCACAATTCAATTCTAGTTCTCCCAAAATCATCATCTTGAACTCAATCACGAGAACAATCATCAATTCCCATAAAACCAAATATATCCTTATAAGCAAGTGCCACCTCAAAGTCATAGCACCACCAAAGATTATAACCCTACGTCTAACATACCGGTGGATGCTACTTATGAAGAGAAATTAACCCCAAAAAAAAAAAAGAAAGAAGCATAAATCATCACATGACTAGAGCAAAAAACATGGAGAGACAAAGGAATTATAAGAATAAAAAATATTACCTTCAGATTGTGTTGAAAAATACCGATAAAGATGATGCGTTTTCAAAACCATCTTTAACCTTAGAATCTAATGCACACTTTTTTTTTCTCTCCTCTGCTTCCCCGAATGTGTGACAATCACTCAGAAGTAGTCGCTGCCTAGGCGAGTAAAGAATCAACGACTAAACAAAAATATCAATAGATTCTACAGTGGGTGAGCAAGTTCGTATGGAACATTCAAATTCCCATATCCAATATTAAGGAAGAAAGACAATCCAACATCACAAAAGCACAAAACCAATACTCCATTCACCAAGAAAAGCACAACGGGATTGATCATAGCACCCAATACACATATTCATGCATAGAAAAGATATAAAATCACAAAACTAACACTCTAAAATTCAATTCAAACAATGGGCATTTCCATATTTGCATCTAGAATTCCAAGAAACCTTAAAACACATGAATTAAGTTAGATAACCCAAGGCCATTAAATAAAGCTTAAAGAAACTATCTGATTTTTGAATACACTTTAGCAATTCATATAAAAGAAATTTTAATTCCAAATTCAAACATGCACTACAATAATCAAAACCCAAATGAAGAAGTACAACATAGACCCAAATCAAACTCCAAAGAATCTGAGCACAAATTTAAATTTAAATCGCATCGTATTTCCTATTAGATACAATCCATTACATATAGATCATAAACGAAAATCTCCTAAAAATATTAGTAGATGTGCATTCCTACAAAAAATGCACCAGTTGATAATTCTATTTACTTAAAAATCCTAACTGACATGGAAACTGAACTAACAACCATAGCAACGCATCCTCAGTCCTCACTAGACTATAGGTTGTATCTACCAATAACAATTGCTATTCAAACAGTTTACCAAAATATTGATGAAATATTTAGCAAGATATCCAATCTTCCCATACACTTGACTATTTTATATAAAATCGTATTAGTGCAAATAGAAAGGAAATTAATTACCAAATGAATAACATCAATGTTGACATTGCTAGCTTCTACACCCTTTATGGCTACCATCTAGGCAACACATGTAGAAAATATGTATATTTGGTCCAAAAAAATACAAAGATGTATTAATGCAAGAAAATCGAAGTGTGCATGTGAATTGCTCCAATATCAAAGTGTGTGTGTTTGTGACTATGTAAAGTGAGTGTGATTGGGTGATTTAGGGTATGTGTGTGCGTGACAAATGAAATCCATATGTGTGTTGGTGTGTATGTGTGTGTGAGTGTGCATGGGTGATTTGTAGTGGGGTGAGAGAGGATAGAGACATAGAGGAGAGAAATGGAATACCTAGAGAGAAAGGAAAGGGTGGCTGTCGTCGATAGGGATGGTAGTAGACCGGAAAAAAAAGGTATCCAAGCCCATTCTATTTGGACTGGAGATGGACCATACTTATTGGCTGGTAGACGTATACAGGGATACTTAAAGAGAAAAATTTTAAAATAGCAATAAATTCTGAAAGTGAAGAAGAAAGAAATGGGGAGGATTAATATATGCACAAAAATATCAGCAAAGCTTTTATTTAATACAAAATTTTGTACAAACACACTTACAGTAGTAGTGGTGGAAGGTAGGAGATGGAGGATTTTACAAGAGAGGAGGGTTTAGAGAGGGTGCAAGAAAGGAGAGAGGAAGGAATGGGTGTGTGTGATGCGGTCAAGATGCGGTGCTCCACAGGTCGGGCCTGCATCTCCTTTTTATAATAGTCGGATATGAAATCTGGATTTCAAACTAACCTCTACTATTCAAAACTTTATACCATTCACAACTTTAATAATTTACATTGACGTCATTGCATACATCAATACTACTGTACACTTGTTACTGTATAAGTATAATAATTTTATGGTGACATTATGGCATGCATCACCTCTTTAGGGTTGGTTTTATCCGATACTTCAGCTTTATTTGATCATTTCCTGTAAAGCTAATTATACATCATATTTTCGCTATCTTCATGAAGGTTTATCTTCATATCGTTATTGAGCAAATCTTCATTAACTTGTTAGCATGAACCCTCCTCCCTTTTATGCTTGCTTTTGCTGTTAAAATGAATGGAAATGCAATGTTCAAGCTATTAACGGAGTTTTGGTATGTTTACAAGTAAAGGGGTTTAAATGGTGCATGTTAGGCCCTATCATGGTGCTTAAGGTCAATGGAGGTGAGGTGGAGTCTTGACGATGGCTTGAAAGGTGAAGGGACTAAGAATTTAGCAAAACAAGAAAAAACCTACGGGTAGGTTTTGGCTACTGGACCTACACCTACTGCAAACCTATCGATAGGTTTTAGCTACTGAGCTTGCCTCTACCGTAAACCTATTGATAGTTTTTGCTGAAACACGCCAGATTCTACATTTCAAGCTCTGTAACTTTGGGGGTCCCACCATTGGTTTTCCCACTTGTTCCCTGACACTCCTTACACACAGAAATTCCCTCCTCAATCCTAGCTTAGACTTTGGAGGCTTGGACATTAATGAGGAGAGAGAGAAGAGGTGAAGCCTGGTAGTGCAGGCTTGGCTTGTGCTAGCCTAAGCATTCCATCCAATTAGCCTCCTATGGATGGGATGTCCATCACACAGACCCTAGGGAGCTCCATGGAGGTTTTTGGAAAAGGGGCACACCATTATACACATTACATTGCATTATAGAGGTAGAAGCTCCAAGGAAGAAGATGAAGTTCTAGACAGAGAAGTTAATATTTTTGCATTTTCTTTCATCATTTCACTTGTACTTTACTGTAAGACTTGTGTAAAATTCATTTAATGTCATTTATTACAAGCACATTGCAAGTTTAATGCTACATTTTGGATTTCTCCATTGTTGTGTCGAGCTTTCATCATTTCAAACTTTTGAAATGGGTATTAAATGCATTTCTTCATAGTTTAAGTTTTCTTGCATTAAGTTAAGTTCCAATCTTCATTTCTTCATTATGTATCTTTTACATTATGCATGTATTTCCCTTTAGTATGAGTAGCTAAGTTTTATGTTGGCTAATCCAAGGGAGAACTCCTCTTGGGTATGCTATTTCAACTCATTTTCTTTCTTCCTCGTAGTGTACGTTGATTCGATTTGACTAGGTTGAGTGTGGATGTGGTTGTGAGTTCTTGTTACACCGTAGACTTGTCATGAGATATGCTTGAATTCTCACCTCCATTTTGGTCCCGTGCTTCCTACGAATCATATGAACATCTAGGCATCATTGGATAAAGGTCTTGAGTTGATTTGACATTCTCATTGGAATGACCCCTTCGAATTAGCCAACACTTGTTCCATTTCATTTTAAGCAAAAACACAATGACC